CAAGAGGAGGAGGATGAGGAGGAGGAGGAGAAGGAGGAGGAGGACGAGGAGGAGGAGGAGGACGAGGAGGACTGCCCCCATCCCCGTGCAACTGGGGCATACAGCCCGCCCAGCACCACACAACAACTCAAGTCCTGCGCTCGCCGGCGCCTGTGAGTTTCAACTTCTGTGCAGAAGTGGTGCAAAAGAGCAGTGATTCTCGCGAGGATGGGCCCATGTTCCACCACCGCTACCACAGGCAGGGGAGGGAAGAGGAGGAGGAGGAGGAGGAGGAGGAGGAAGAGGAGGAGGATCTCCTCATCCTTCCTTCTCCCCCGTCCTACATACGGTAGCGGTTGTGGAAAGTTTGCCCATCAGATCATACAATTCCGGGGGAGCCTCTTTCGCGAGCCGCCCTCCACGGGTGCATCTGCTACATACGTGTGTTGAAGCTCATAGTTCGGATATTCAGATCAGTCTTGAGCGAGAGTTCCCTTTTGAAAAGAGCCGTCTTCCATTTGTAGCTTTTGAGTGTTCAAGGCGTTTGTGCTCGGCGCGGAGGCGAGGATTTCATATTGAACATGGGCCGCCCTTATTATTGTAAGTGCGGCAAGCCTTTACGACGAATGCGCGCGGCGATAAGTCGACAATCCCACCTTTTGCAAAACTTGTAGAAAACACTTGTGTACCTGCTGCAATATTTGAAGACGAAGGTGTGCCGCGCTACGGCGCTCCATTTTCAAAACCGTCCCTCACAATACTTGTAGTTATCGCGCACTTTGAAGGCACATGTGCGCGGCGCTCAGGCGAGAGGCCCATTATTAATACTACTTGTGTTCCATCTATGCAACTGGTGCGACTTCCAAGCTTCAGGATCGTACATGGTGAGAACGTCTCAGGCGAAGCGCCCGTCCCGCTCTACTGGCACGCCTGCGGGCGCCACGGTGAGGAAGCGTTTCTACGGAAGAGGGGCGGAAGAGGAGAAACAGAAGTTGTGCGGAGGGAGGGCGAGGATGAATAGCTGCACCAGCACCACAGAGCTCTAGGACAGTGCTCCGCCAGAGGAGGAAGAGGAGGAAGAGGAGGCGTTTGGGAGGAGGGGGGAGGAGGAGGAACAGAGGAATGAGGATGCCCAGGAGGAGGAAGATATGTAGGATCAGCAAGATGAGAGGGAAGAGACGGAGGAGGATGTGGACCATGACACGGGGGGGGACCTCGAGGACCGACCAAGAGGCCTTGGAGGATGCAAAGGAGGAGCAGGAAGAGTGAGAGGACGCACAGGGGAAGAGAGCAGGGAGTAGGGGATGACGAGCATTGTGGGGGATTGGCCGGAGGGAGTGGTAGATGTGGCCGGGAATCGGACGAGGATATACAGGAGTTGTAGTAGGGAACGGAAGGAGGGAGGGAAGGGAAGGGGAGCTGATCTGGATGCGTCGCGGGCGCCAGAGCTGGGCGAGGCAGGGCGAGGCAGGAGGGAGGAGGGGCCAGCGGCGACGAACGAGGAACGACGACGGAGGACGAGAACGCGGTCAAGGGCGATTACCAGGGCCAGGAGCGAAACACGGACGATAACTTGAAAGAGGAGAGGAGGAGGAGGAGGAGGTGGAGGAGGAGGAGGAGGAGGAGGAGGAGGAGGAGAGGAGGAGGAGGAGGAGGTTGAGGCGTGGAAGGAGGAGGAGGCGGGGAAGGAGGAGGAGGCGGGGAGGAGGAGGAGGAGGCGGAGGAGGAGGAGGAGGCGGAGGAGGAGGAGGAGGAGGAGGAGGAACAGGAACAATGGAGAAGGAGGAGGAGGAGGAGGAGCAGCAGGAGGAGGTCCAGCAGGAAGGGACTACGAAGGATGAGGGGGGTGATGAGGGGGAGGCGATGGAATGGAGGGATAGATGTCAACGGGGATCTGACGAGTATGAGCAGGAGTTGTAGTAGGGAGAGGGAGGAGGGAGGGAAGGGAAGCAAATCATGGGCTGGACGGAGCAGATCTAGAGGCGTCGCGGGAGTGAGAGTTGGGCGATGTAGGGCGAGGCAGGACGGACGAGGGACGACGACGGAGGACGAGAGTGGGGTCGAGGGAGAGAAGGGAGAAGGAAGGCGAATGCCAGGGCCAGGAACGAAACAAGGACGATAACATGGAGGAGGACGAGCAGGAGGAGGAGGAGGAGGAGGAGGAGGAGGAGGAGGAAGATGAGGAGGAGGAGGCGGGGGAGGAGGAGGAGGAGGAGGAGGAGGAGGAGGAGGAGGAGGAGGAGGAGGTCAGAACACCTTGAGCGCGGGAGGGCGGAGATATCGCAGAGGGCAGCGGACTTGAGCCAACAGGCCAGGGAGTGAGCGGAGAGGAAGGGGGGTGATCGGGGGGGAACGGGGTCAAGGTGAGGGAGGAGGGGGAAGGGGAGGGAGGAGGGGCGAGAAGGAGGGTTGGTCTAAGAGCAACAGACTGCATAATCATCAAGTTTCGGAGGTCCGCGCGGCTTTCTTTGTCCTGCGCTGGACGCCCCTCCCTCGCTCGCGGCGCCGGAGGCGCCGCCAGGGGGTCCCAGCGCACATCCAGGGAATCCGCACGGAGCTCCGAAAGTTTCCGTTCGCGTGGATGCTGTATTCTTCCCCGGCGGAGGGGGAGGAGGGGGGGGGGATCGGATGGGAGCGGCCTTCAACGGGAGCCCCACCCTTGACAGAGGGGGTGAGGGACACCGAAAAGAGGAGGGAGGGAGGACGTGGCGGAGAGGGAGGAGGAAAGACAGGAGGAGGCGCAGCGGCTGCGAGGGGCGCGCAGATTCCCGTAGGCTGCGACTCTCGTCCGGGGCCGCTCGCCTCCCAGCCAAGGACTGGACGCGAATAGTATTATGTCGGGCGTGTTCCACTACAGTGGGATTTTCGACGAAAAATAAAAAAATACCCCAAAAATGCACCCAAAGGTCAGAGAATACCCAAAACATAGTCCCCAGACTATTTTTGGTTTATGTTTGGTTTTTTGGGGGGGCGTATGTTTTATTGCTCGTCGACAATCCCCCTGTAGGGCGACAGGCCCGACTTAAGAATAGTATCAGCACCCCGTGCTTCAAAGCGCCTCCTCCTCCTCCTCCTCCTCCAGTATGAGCACCGCGTGCTTCAAGTGCCTCTGCTCCGCTGCCGGCCGGGGGAGCGTCGCGTTTCGCCGGGGCCGCCGCCCGCGACGCGCCGAGAGCGGAAGCTCTCGCCCGAGCTCCCCTCGGTTCCCGCCTCCATCGCAGCCGCGCAGCTCCTTTCCGGGGAAGCGCAAGACCCGAGTAAGCCGGAACACGGGTTTGCCGACGTTTTTGTTGACGAGCGCGTCCTGGATTTTGAGGGTCCAGTTTTCGTGGGATGTCTGCAGCGGGAGCTCGCGTCAGATTTCAGATTGGGCCTCGTCATTTTTATGATGGCCCCGTCGGGCCAACCCGAGTTCCCCTGTACCCGAGTCTTACGTCTCCTCGATGCTTAGTGCCTTGGCCAGCACGCTTTTATGAGGGGGACAAAAAGTGGCATAAACATAACAACTCGGAGGTCCGCGCGGATTTCTCGGATCGGCGCTGGGCCCCCCCGGCGGCGCCTCCGGCGCCGCCCCTGGCGCGCTCCGCGCGCCGGGGAGGGGGGTCCAGCGCCGATCCGAGAAATCCGCGCGGACCTCCGAGTTTTTATGTTTATGTAACTTTTTGTTCCCCTATTGATTGCCGATTGAGCCATGTGGCGTTGACGGTGGCACGGAGTTGCCAACGGTCGTGCCCTCGTGGGATCGCTGATGAACAAAAATGCTCCTCATGCTTCTCATCCTAATCTCCAGCCTAACTCATACTCTGAGCGGCCTTCTGGGAGGGTGCGGGCGGGAGAGGGGGTATCGAAGTGAAACGCTCCCCGACATCCGACGTTTTGATGTTTTAAATACGGGGTCCACAGAAGTCCCCACCCTTTCCCCGTTCGGGGCTGAAGCGACGAGGGTCAGTGCAAACGGTGCCAGCCAGAGCCGTCGGATCTTTCAGGATCCTGCAGGGCCAGGCCTGCACTGACCGAGGCTTGGGCGCAGAATCCTGCAGGACCCGGCAGGACATTGCAGGACCCTGCGAAGACTGACTGACCAGGGTCTGCATGGACCTGTGTCAGTCGATCCCCGACCCGCGGCCAGTCTTACATCCAGAGCCGTCGTTTGACGGTCCCGGGGACGGGCGGGGGCCCCCCGGGGAAGGAGAACGGCCAAACGCACACATACATACATACATACATACATACATACATACATGCATACATACATACATACATACATACATACATACATACATACATACATACATACATATATGCATGCATGCATGCATGCATGCGTGCGTGCATACATACATACATGCATACATACATACATACATACATACAAACATACATACATACATACATACATACATACATACATACATACATACATACACGTACGTACGTACGTACGTACGTACTCACGCACGTACGTACACACATACATACACACATATACATACATACATACATACATACATACATACATACATACATACATACATACATACATACATACATACATACATACATGCATGCATGCATGCATGCATGCATGCATGCATACATACACACATGCAAACATGCATACATACATACATACATGCCTGCATACATACAGACAGACAGACAGACAGACAGACAGACAGACAGACAGACAGACAGACAGACAGACATACATACATACATATATACAACCACACATACACATACACACACATACACACATACACACATACACACATGCACACATACACACATATATCATACATATATACATACATACATGCATGAATGCATGTATGCATGCATACATACATACATACATACATACATACATACATACATACATGCATACACACACGGACACAAACAACCGTCGATTCCCAGGACGTACGGAAAGTGGGGGAAGCGGAGGGGAAGACGACGCTCCGGGAACTCTGGAAGATGTGTGGGCGCCTGGGCCTCGTGCCTGTCTATGCGCGTGTCCCTGGGCCCCCGCAGTGCCGTTTTTCCTCACCACGCGAACATGCCTGGGATGTCTGGGGAGGGCCCCCGCTGCCTGGGATGCCTGGGGAACGAACATGGCATAAACAGAAACTCGGAGGCCCGCGCGGACTTCTTGCAGCGGCGATGGGGCCCCCTGGCGCGCTCCGCGCGCCAGGGAGGGGGGGTCCAGCGCCGATGCGAGATATCTGCGTGGACCGCCGAGCTTTACTGTTCTGTGTCGTTGCTCGTTTCCCCCGCCTCCCCCCGACCGTTTAAGTCGGGCGTGTCCCTCTGCAGGAGGAGCATTCCAAACTCGTAGAAAGTAATAGGGGGACGATGTTTGTATTTGTTTGAAGCATGCTTTGCCTCTTTTGGGAGTATCCTTGGGATACTCCTTTATCTTTCGCCCAGAACCCCCCTGCAGGGGGACATGCCCGACCTAACCCAACCGGGAGGTCGGTGCCGACTTTCGAGCTCGCGCCCGAGCGCGGGAGGAGGAGGAGGAGGAGGAGGAGGAGGAGGAGGAGGAGGAGGAGGAGGAGGAGGAGGAGGAGGAGGAGGAGGAGGCTACGCGAGGGGGGCGAGCGGGAGAGCCCCTCGCCCGGCTCCTCCCCCGCGCGCCTCGCGCGGAGGGGGGCGTGCCGCTGCGGCTCTCCCGCGGCCGCGCCTCGTGGGTCGGCCCGCGGCCGGCCGCGCGAGCTGCAGCTTGACGGGCACGTCTTCCGCCACCGCCGCCACCAGAAGTTCGAGGGGGAGGGGGTCCGCCTCCGTTTCCTCCTCCTCCCCCTCCTCCTCCTCCTCCTCCTCCTACACCTCCTCTTCCTCCTCCTCCTCTCCTCCTCCTCCTCTCCTCCTCCTCCCCCTCCTCCTCTCCTCCTCCTCCCCCTCCTCCTCTCCTCCTCCTCCTCCTCCTCCTCCTCGCCCTCCTCCTCCTCCTCCTCCTCCTCCTCCTCCTCCTCCTCCTCCTCCGCTTCGTCCTCCTCATCCTCGTCCTCCCCCGCTCCGACTTATGGTGGTGGTGGTGGGAAACAAGCCCATCAGCAGTTGGTCATGGCGTCGGTACAGCGTCGACCAGCGTTAGGTCGGGCCTGTCCCCCTACAGGGGGGATTGTGGGCGAAAAATTAAAAGTACCCAAAACATAGTTCAAAACTGCTCAACGATGGTCAGACAATCGTCCCCACATTTCTTTTTGGTTATGTTGGAACATCCCTCCTGTAGGGGGGACAGGCCCGACTTAAGACTAGCGTCGACTCGCAAGAGCCGACAAGATGGTTCTGGGAGGCTCCCATGACTGAACACGACGTGTCACCAACGACAGCCAAGACAAGCGGAGCCAGAAGGCCTTCTGCTGGGATCCAGAACTCTGCCAAAGGGTCACGGCGCCTACATCGCAGCGCGGATCTCGTGCGGAAGACCGTAGGGATGGGCCCAGAGTGTCCTGGATGGTGTGGCTCCGGACTTCGGAGTGAACTTCGTGCAGATTTTTTGCCTGGTCAGGAATGGAGGCTGAAACAGATCCACGTGGCGTCCACTTCGTGCGTCGCTTGCCGTTTCGGGGCTTTGCATTGACGGAAATCCACACGAAAATCAGCTGGAGCCTTAGTGGGCCCTGGAAACGACAGGGCCGTTTTTTCACCGGTTCCGTTTTGCCGTTTTTGTTGCCAGTTCCGACGCCGTTTCTTTACCGGTTCCGTCGCCGTTCTTTTACGGGTTCGCATTCCGGTTCCAATCCTGGAGCCGTTTTGTCCTTCTAGGGTTTTCATTGGCTGGCGGTGGGAGGGCAGGGTACTGAGCCCAGGTGCCTGTGTCGCCAGGGGCAGCCTTGGGCGACCCTGGCAATCCCAATGGCGGTGCCGGGGGGAGGTGCCCAGGAGGGGTTCCCCTCAAAAAAGCTCGGTGCGCGCCATGGTCAACAGAGGCAATGGCCCGCTTCACTTCAGACATCCTCGGAACCCCCGGCTCCGAGATGCCTTGATTTGAGCTGCTCTGGCCAGTTTCGCCTGAGGGATCCTTACAACTCCTGTTTCCAAGATGTGATGGCTGAGGTGCTCAGGCCCGCGTCGCCTGAGACATCCTCGGACCCTCTGGCTCCGAGATACCTCGGCTTGAGGTGTTCTGTCCCGTTTCGCCTGAGGCATCCTCCCAGCTCTGGGTTCCAAGCTGCGGTTCTCGAGGTGCTGAGGCCCGTTTCGCCTGATACATCCCCGGAATCCCAGGCTCCGAGATGTCCTGGCTTGAGGCACTCCGGCCCGTTCGCCTGAGACGTCTCGGGGTCCTCGAAACTCTGGGTCTGATCACCAGGGCCGCGCGATTCGGGGGAGGCCAGCCCGTCCCCGGGAAGGCTCTTGGCGGGGCCTCGGTCGATACAAATCGGTTATCACAGGATTAACGGTCTGCGGATGGACCGTTGCCAAACGTATTATTAGGGATTCCTGGGCATGCGTTCGTGACCTGCGTGTGACGCTTGAAGGTGATCTTGAGGGAGGTCTTGCTGGGGGTGCCCCCAGTGCCGGGGGAGGCTGGGTACCGAGAGGCTGGTAACAGAGCAAAGGGGAATCCGCCATGTAGCATCCTATACAGTCGGGGCCCTGAAGAAGGAACCCTTTTCGTTGGGGAGGGGCTCGGTGTTCCTTGTGTGTTTCAAAGTTTGCCTCGGATTTTCCTTGGGTTTCCCATGGGAAATCGAGGTTGAACTTATGGGAAAAAGGGGCCTCGTTCCTTATTTCGGGTTCCTTAGGTCAACGCCCCGACTGTAGTAAGGTGGGACAGGGGACGGGGAGAGAGGGGCATATGGGGGTCGGAAGAGACATGAGTCACAACCAGGGGTCGTCACACTATGAGACGGACGCAGCGCAGAGAACGCGGCCACATGAAAGCTCACAGCTCAGCAGCGTTGGTGCCACCAGGGGGTATACAATGACGAGGCTGGCGAGCAATGTGTGGATGAGCAGCGCTGTTCCGTGATTCGAGGTCATACGCCGCAGATTGGCTGAGGAAACGGAAGAAGAGGATACACCCTCCAAGTGCCCCATTAGGCCAGATGCCTCTTTGAGACAGCTTTGAGGGGCGTCACCAGATGAACCGGCAACTTCGGCAGAGGTCTTCAAAATTTGCGCCATGCTCCCTTCAAGCAAAACAGCAAGTATCCTGCCAAACCGTAGCCACCTGGGCTTAAACCAGTCGGGGTAAAGCAATTTTGGCTCATGCCAGCTTCGAGTTGAGCAGCGTCGGCCGACGTCATCGCCTGCAGGTTTCGCCTTAGAACGCACTGGCCTGTGGTGGCCTTCGTTGTCACGAAGTTATGCTTCCTCGATGGATGGATTCGACTTTGATAGGCGGTTTCGCGGTAGGTCTCAATTCGATGCAGCATTCGCAGTTGGTCCTCTTCTCTTATGGTGTTCTTTTGAGCCTAGTTCTTGCGACGGCCAAGATTGTTTCGCGAAAGGATAAGCTAGTAGCGCTAGGTGTGTGTATTGCACTCTTGTTGCTCATACCTGCCACGATGGCCAATCAGTTGAGCACTGCCACGATGCAGCTAGCGTACCACGGCTGCAAAAAGATGGACATGGCAAGGTACCAGATGAACGCTTACAACATGATCAGTGTCTTGATGGGGTGGCTGCCATGGATGATTGTGGACGTACTTGCGCCCAAGAAGGAGGACAAGCCTCAAAAGCGTCAAAAAGCCAAAGCTCGGGACGATGCAGACGATGAAGATGAACTCACAGAGAAGAACCCTGCCGCGGCAAAGAAAGTGAAACAAGGCAAAGTTGTTTCCAAGAAGAAAAATTAACATCTGATGGTGCAGAAAGCGGAAAGCGTGCTTTTCTTGTCCGTCGTGTTGTGTAGTTCTTCTTCGTCTGCAGCGAAGCAGCAGTTTGCCGCCATGCCTCTCGAGTGCAGCCTGCCTGGGCGGGCGCGGTGGACAGACGTATAAGCCACACGTCGGGCCAGAAAAAGTCCCCGCGCCGCCACAGCTCCTCTTCTCTCCTCCTCCTCCTCCTCCTCCTCCACCTCCTCCTCCTTCTCCTCCTCCTTCTCCTCCTCCTTCTCATTCTCCTCCTCCCGCTCCTCCTCTTCCTCCTCCTCCTCCTCCTCCTCCTCCTGCTCCTTTTCGTCGTCCTCCTCCTCCTCCTCCTCCTCCTCCTCCTTCTCCTCCTCCTCCTCCTCCTCCTCCTCCTCCTCCTCCTCCTCCTCTTCCTTTTCCTTACCGTCGGCGGGACGCACGACGCACCGACTCCGCGACCTTCAGGCGGCCCTTTGGGAGTCGATTGCTTCTGCTGGCCGCCTCCAGGCGCGGGAGAGCGAGGGGGAAGAGAAGCCGGAGAAGGAGGATAGGACGGAGGAGGAGGAGGAGGAGGAGGAGGAGGAGGAGGAGGAGGAGGAGGAGGAGGAGGAGGAGGAGGAGTAAGAGGAGGTGAAGGACGAAGGGACGTACGAACAGGATGAACCGTTGCCTGTTGCTCACATGCCTCCTCCCATCCGTCCAACTTTCTCCTCCTGACCCCCCTGGAATCCACGCCAGGACACCCACTAGCGGCCCAAGACGGCCTAAGACCGACAGAAGAAGACTGACCACCTCCCCCTGACCGCCCCCGCACCCAAGATTACCTCAGGACTAACCGACTCTGCTTGGTCTGCGCCCTTGCACCTGGTTCAAACACGGCTACGAACATGAATGCAGAGGTGACCTGGTCAGTGGCTGGGGCTTGCTGGAAAAGCACGCGCTTGGTCCTAATTTGGCAACTAAAGTCAGTACCACGTGGCGCAGTTTTCAGATGGCGGCGCCTGCTCCCTGCTCCGCCGCTCTTCCCGCTCCTCCTCATCCTGCTTCCCTTCTCCTTCAGAGGAGGAAAGGTACCCATGCAGCTATCTCTGCTTCGTTTCGTTTTCGTTTTGTGTTTGCCTCCTGGGACGCCCTCGTCGCAACGGCTGGATTGCGTTTGCAATGCTTGGCCCGAAGACACTCCGAGAGAGGCCCGGGGAGTAGCCTTGTCGGCCCCTTTTGGTTCCCAATCCCCCTCGCTCTGCACCTTCTCTTCCTCACCATCTTCCTCACCCCCCTTGCACTCTTTCGGATGGATCTCCTGGGAGGTCAAATTCTGACTTTGCCCTGGTCCGAAATCCAGCTTAATCCCGCCGAATCTCGCTTGGCTGAATCCCGCGCCCACTCCCGCTCAATCCTCGGCCTGATCCGGCGTGGCAGCCGCCCAGTGGGGCTTCTCATCCTCCCCGGTCCTTCCGACGAAGTCCTCCCAGCAGATGCCTCCTGACACTCCTCCTCCGTTCGACGACCTGCCCTGCAGCATGGGCCAGGCCGGCCACGTACGAGTCAGGGCCAGGGCATGTTTTCAGGAGGGAAAGAAACCCACAGACACAATGAGTCGTCGACTCCCAGGAAAATACGGGAGAATAATATGGGAAGGGGGGGGAAGACAGAAGCCCAGAAAAAATATAGGAAACTATAGGGCATCCTGCTATATTGTGTGTATCTCTTGGTGTGCTTGTGGGCCCCTTCAGTGTTGGAGGCAGGCGGAGGCCCACGGCCGCACGCCGCGGCCGCGGCCGCGGCCGCACGAGGGTGCGGCTCAGGGGGTCGGCGCTGGCTCTGGCGCCGGGCTGCCCGCACGCCGGGGTGCAGCCAGCGCGCGGAGGCAAGGAGGGGCCAGGCCTCCACCGCCACTGCCACGGGCAGGACGGGGGGAGGACATCCGCCTCCTCCTCCTCCTCCTCCTCCTCCTCCTCCTCCTCCTCCTCCTCCTCCTCCTCCCCCTCCTCCTCCTCCTCCCCCTCCTCCTCCCTCCTCCTCCTCCTTTTCCTTCTCGTCCTCCTCCTCCTTTTCGTCCTCCTCCTCCTCTCCTCGTCCTACTCCTCCTCCTCCTCCTCCTCCTCCTCCTCCTCCTCCTCCTCCTCCTCCTCCTCCTCCTCCTCCTCCTCCTCCTCCTCCTCCTCCCTTTCCTCCCTCCCTTCTGTACTGTGGTGGCGGTGGCGGCAGATCGGCCCATCAGGGGCCACCTCGGGCTCCGGAGGGGCTGTGGTCCTCGGCCCGCGAGGCCGCGGCGAGCCCCCTCTGGAGAGAGCGGCGCCGCACCGCGGGGGCACCTCGCGCGGCGTTGCTCCGCAGGGGCGCCTCGGCAGACTGCTCGGCGTGTGGCCTCGCAGTGCTGCTCGGCGCAGTGCTCGGCGTGCTGCGCGGTGCCCTGCTCGGGCCGCTGCTCGGCGTGCTGCTCGGCCTTGCTGCTCGGCACACTGCCTGGCGTCTTGCCCTGCACGGGCGGCTCTTGCTCGGCATGGCTGCTGCCGTTGCTTTGCACTTTGTGGCGATGGGCCGAGGCGCCAAGACGGGCGAAGCAAGGAGCCAAGAACAGGGAGCCAAGAAACCAGTGCCACGGAGCCGGGGAGAACCGCTGCCGTGGAACCGGGCAGCCAGGGCCCAGCGGCCCCGAGGAAGGCCGGCAGGAGCGAAGGCCATGGCGCTGAGGAGCCAAGAGCAAGGAACCACGGAGGAGGAGGAGGAGGAGGAGGAGGAGGAGGAGGAGGAGGAGGAGGAGGAGGAGAAGGATGAGGAGGAGGCAGGAGGAGGAGAAGGAGGAGGAGGAGGAGGAGGAGGAGGAGAGGAAAGGAGGAGGAGGAGGAGGAGGAGGAGGAGGAGGAGGTGGAGAGGAAATGAGGAGGAGGGGGAGAATGCGGAGGAGGAGGAGGAGGAGGAGGAGGAGGAGGAGGAGGAGAATGAGGAGGAGACCACTGAACCACGACCAACGAACCCAGGCAACGCCTTGTATAGAAGCACGACCAGGGAATCCCGGGGACCCCCTCCGCAAGGAAACAGGATCGGGGCACCCATGGGCAGCCCGGCGACGGCCGCGTCCGGCACCCACCGGCTTCCTCCACAGACGGAAGGCAGCCCAGGCAGAGCCTCATCGGGGAAGGTGCCCCTTCCATTCCTGAGACAGCGCCCCCCTGCGACAGCGCACGGCGACTGTGCGGGCGCCGCTCGGGCCGGCCCTCCTCGCAAGCAGAGGGGGGTTCGTTTTGGTGCTCGGGGGCCTCGGCACAGGGGACCCTCGGCGAGGAGGAGCGGGAGGGGGGACGAGGTGGCGAGCCCAGGCTGATGCGCTTCGACCTGGCCCGAGGCCTGGGCCTGGGCCGAACCACTAACTCCAGTGGGAGGCCTCGACCCATCGAAGAAGAAAAAACGCCATACACATAAACTTTTGGCGCCCCGCGCGGATTTCTTTGATCCGCTCTTTGGCCCCCACTGGCGGCGCCTCCGGCGCCGCCCATGGCGCGCTCCTCGCGCCAAGGGGCCAGGGAGGGGGGCCCAGCGCAGATCCCAGAAATCCGCACGAACCGTCGAAAGTTTATGTTTTATGCCACTTTTTCGTCTTATATTGCTTGTGAATGAATAGAGAGGCGGGTATTGGATGCCGCCCCATGGGATGTGTTGTGTTCGGTACGCTTGTTGCTGTTTTGCGCAGGGTCGCAAACAACAGTGATGATACATGTTTGCCCCCTCGCTTCGGGCTTTTCGTGCCCAAATAAATGCCTACGGTTCGACATCAAGCGAGCATCGTCGATGGGGTCCGAGGCAGGGCGGAGAGATGCCAGGTGCAGGTGGGGCGCGACAGCAGACACGACGACGACGGCGACAACGAAGAAGACGACGACGACGGGCGCGAGCGGTCCTCCTCCTTGCCCAAGGGTTACCAAGGGTTCGGTTTGCGGCTGCTCGTGGTAGCTGAGCTACCACCCGCCAGTGCGTGAGCGATCCGTAGGCCGGGGAGGCCGAGGTCGTCGGGCCGGGGTCTGATGCCGTGTGAGCTCACTCCGTCCCCGCCGCCTCCCATCTCGACTGGACGTAAGAGTGACCTTTCGCCGGCGTGACCTTTGGTGCGGACCCAGTGGGGCCCCCCAATCGCCGAATGCGATGCGATAGTGGCGTCCTGCGCGCGTGTGTTTGGTCCCCCCGCGGCCCCCAAAGAGCCGCGCATCAAAGGTCACTCTTACCCAGGGTCACTCCTCCGTGTAGCCGACCATCCAGCTCCTCCTCTGCACGATCTGGGACCAGGATACATGCGGAAGGAAGAGAGGGTATCAATCATACGCGGCCGCTAGTAGCCCGTCAGCGTGTTGCTCCCTCGGTTTTGTCTGGAGGCCTGGTGCTTCCTCAGCAGTAACATGCTGGTGTGTTCCCCACGGGGGGTGTCGTTCAATGATCTTGTTCGTGCTCTCCGATATATGGGCGCGTGATGCACCAGCCATCTCCTACCGGTCGATCCGTACTTGCAGCATGGTCTCGATCGCTGCAATATTTGCCTTGGCCTCTGCTCTGTGTCAGCTTGCTCCAGGTCTCCCCGCCGATTAGAGTAGGGTGCGTTTCTTGCCCGAGTCCAAGCCTCCACCACCACCTCCCAATGTCGTAGTTGGTCGGCCTCCAGGCTGGGAATCAGGGCGCCGCTTGAGGAATTGTGGCCGAGCTTGCCGCGGTTGTGCACCAGCATTCGCCAAACTCTTCCCACTCATTTCGCATGAACGATGATCCCCACTGGAGTTTATTGCGCGGCCAGCCACCTTGGCTTCTTGCTGCCGAGATAACATCACTCGCGTGCACTGCGTTGGCGATCGCAAAGTCCTTTCAGCTTATTCAAGTGGCTTACGCCGTTCTGCCGATTCCCAGAATGTGAGCAGCCAACTGGCGTCAATAGGCTGACGTAATCAGGATCTTCAGAAATTGTTTCGGTAGGCGCCAATGGGCGTAATCACTCTTAGCTGCAGCAGACAGCCGGCGTCAGTAGGCTGAGCTACAGTCGGCCCGGATCAGTTGGTCGACCTTGCCAGCTCCAGGGTATTCTTGGGTCCCGTGTCTCGCGACCTGTGCTTCCTACTTTCCTCTGGCAATGTGGCCCCCGGAAAGGGTCTTTTGTCCTCTCGCGTGTCCTGTCCGATGATCTACGCCTCCTAGATGGGGTCCGAGTAGATGGGGTCGGAGGATCGTGCCGCATCGGCGATGCATCGGCGATTCATCGGCGAAGCGGCTCGATGTGGGGCCCACTGTTCTCCACGCCGAGGTCGCCGATGCATCGCCGACGTCGGAAGTGCATCGCCGATGCATCGGCGATGCATCGCCGATGTATCGGCGATGCGGCGCGATCCTCCGACCCCATCAATTCCGACCCCATCTAGGAGGCCTCTTGATGAAGTCCGACTGTACTGAGGAACTTCAGCACTCACTCTGTCGCACGGCGGCTCTCTGGAGCTCTCTGGAGCTCCTCTGCGTGCCGTCGTCCGCGGCCCTCGGCCCCGGGGCCCCGTGCCTGCGGCCCCGCGGCTGCCGGGGCTCCGGCCTGCCCGCCCCCTTCGCTCCCCAGACCACAGCCTTGCCCCCTCCTCCTCCCTCCTCCTCCTCCCTCCTCCTCCTCCTCCTCCTCCTCCTCCTCCTCCTCCTCCTCCTCCTCCTCCTCCTCCTCCTGCGCCTCCTGCTCCTCCTGCCGCCCCCCCCCCCTGCAGCCAAGACGCTGAAATGAGGAGCAGTTTTGATTCGGAAGGGGCTCGATGTTCCCTGCGTCCTTCCGTGGCTGTTCCTCTAGCCATTCTCGTGCACCCAGGCTTTTTTGTAGCCGCAGAGGGGCTTCGTACCTCATTTAGCGTTCCGTATCTCAGCAGCCCGACTGTCCCCTCTCGGAGCAGTCGACTTCCGCTGTGGCTCGTGGCCCTCGGGCCCTTCGTCTGGCCTCCTCCCCCGTCGGCCCCCTTCCGCAATGGCACACTCTGGATCCTGCTCTCCTCGCTCCCCAGACCCTGTGCGGGAGATGTTCGACCCTCCCAGCGCATGTTTTAAAGACCGGGTTCCAAGCATTGGCCGTTTTGTGGTGTCAATCCGATTGTTTCCCGTGCTTCAAGCTGGTGTTCCGCTGCAGCGTGGGCCTCATGTTCAGAACGTCGTTGTGCTTCCGACGTTCACAATGGCGGTCTCGCCCCAGCGCGGGCCACTTTTCTGGATCCGAGTCATCTTTCTTCGTTGACGCCCCCCTCATTTCCCCTCCTCAGCCTTTCACTGGTCCTCCTGCTCCTCCCGCTCCTTTCACCTGCTGCTGCTGACCGTCCTCGTCCTCCTCCTTCCACATCCTTTTCCTACTGCTCATCCGCCAGCTCACCCACCTCCTACTCCTCCTCATCCTCCTCCTCCGCCTCCTCCGATGTACGCAACTCCCCTTTTCCGCTTGCGCATGACACAGTGGGATCTTCTCTGGAGTTCCAGGTCGATAGCACGCGTCCGCGGACAGAGAACGAATCAGCGCAACCGGAAGCGATGCAAGCGAGGGGTAGGACGTTCGTCGTGGTGCGATCGTACCTGACAGGGCCTCTTCCCTCGCCCCCCTCCCCTCCGTCGGAGGCTCGCGGCTTCCCTTGCCCGCCTGGAGCCCCTCTTTCCCTCCCCCACCGTTGCCCCCCTCGCCTGGAGTCTCGTGCCTCCTCCCTCCCCCAGCCCTTCATTTTCGTCGTCGTCGTCGGCGTCGGCGTCGTCCGTGCTTCACGGTTCGTCGTCTCTTCCACCCGCCCCCTCCCCCCCAGCTCCCACGAGCTGCATCCTCGCGGGGCCGCCCCTTCCGGTGGCCCCCCTCGGCCTGGAGTCTCGCGGCTCCCCCCTGCCCCATCCGCCCTTTTCTCCTGGGCCTCCCAGAGGGGGTCCGAGCAGAGGCGGTCGGAGGATCGCGCCGCATCGCCGATGCATCGCCGATGCATCGCCAGCTCGATGTGGAGCCCACTGTTCTCCACGCCGACGGCGCCGATGCACCGCCGACGTCGACGATGCATCGCCGATGCATCGGCGACGTATCGCCGGTGTGTCGCCGATGCGGCGCGATCCTCCGACCCCATCTACTCGGACCCCATCTGGGGGACCTCTCTCTAGGTTTGTATACATATATGTATATATATATATATAAGTATTCATATAAGTACATACATATCTGTATATACATATATATATATATATATATGCATACAAATGTATTCTCTCGCACGGCTGTGCTCTGGAGCTCGGACTTCTTGGCTGTCGTCGTGGCTGTGGACGTGGCTCGTCCTCCCCCCCCTGGCCTCTGCCCTGGGCCTCCTCCTCCTCCTGGCCTCCCCCAGGGCCGCGGAGCCTACACCCGGGCCCCGGAGCCTATCCCGCCTCCTTCCCCTCCCCCTCCTCCTCCTCCTTCTCCTCCTCCTCCTCCTCCTTCTCCTCCTCCTCCTCCTTCTCCTCCTCCTCCTCCTCCTCCTCCTCCTCCTCCTCCTCCTCCTCCTCCCCCTCCTTCTCCTCCCCCTCCTCTTCCTCCTCCTCCTCCTTCTCCTCATCCTCCTCCCCCTCCTCCTCTCTATCGGGGCTCAAATCGGGGGCAAGAATAGAGGGCGACATGCACAGGGGGGGATGCATCGACCCCCAATCGCCCACTGATCGCCGATAGGGGCTCGAGAGCCCCAACCTGCACAAGAAGGTGCAGATTCACTATCGGGGGCCTATCGCCGATCTACCGGCGACGTATCGCCGATTCCAGGTCGATGCGTCACTCCCCATGCCAGTCCCCCCCTTCGTTGCCACTCAGCAAGAGACGGGCGTCAATGCAAGCGGGGGTCCGAGCGCTGGATCGTGTAGGATCCTGCAGTGCCAGGGCGCATTGACCCCGCTTTGGGTTCAGGTTCCTGCAAGATCTTGCAGGAGTTAGCGTCGATTGTGCGTCGAGTTAGCGTCGATTGGCGTCGATTCGCAAGAGCCGACGAGATGCTATGGGAGGCTCCCACGAGTTGCCACCCAACTATACTTTTCTCGTGATTGTAGTTCGCCCCCCCCTGGCCTTCCTGGTCTCACCATCTTGGGGCCGCGGAGCTCTCTTTCTTCTCGTGGCGGTCGCCGTTCGCCCCTCCCCCCCCCACGGCCTCCTCTGGCCTCTCCGTGGCCTCACCCCCTGGATCGCAGGCCCCAACCTCCTCGCTACCCGATCGTCGTCTTTCTGCATTTGTATAGTCGCTCCTAGGAGCGACAGGGGAGAGCCTTGCCGATACTTTGGCAAAGGAGGCTCTGCGTGCCAGTGATGGGCTGGAGGGCCCTTGCCGGTACCGGCGTCGGAACATAGTTGGCGGCCTCCTGCAAGCTGGATGCCTGATCTCCATTGGTTCGAATCCTGTCCAGAGGAAAAAACTACATAGTCGTTCCTGGAGCCCTTCCCCCCCTGGCAACCTGGCCCAGAGGCTGTCTCGAGACCAGTTCACGCCGTCTCCTGGGAGGGCCCCAGGAGGACCCCAAGAGGCCTCCCTTCCTCACCTTGCTTTTCCTGTCCCCGCAGCTTCCTCGTCCAAGAGCCAGGTCACACGTGTCACTCGTTTCTGGCGTTCCCTTCGTGGATCAGCCCCCAATTGCTTCCCTCAATAACTTCTCTATGACTACCCTCGTCGCCACCCTCATATTACGGGACTACCCATTTCAAGTTTGGAATGGCAGTGTTTTGATGCTCCGTGTGTCACCACCAGCCCATCAAGAAACGATCCCCAGCGGAGTTGCCTTGAACAGGGAAGTCTAGGAGCATGCAGTTGAACGAAGAAACAGGGGCCCACGCCAAACCGAAGCTCGGGATGAACTGGACCAGAATCAGGAGTCAACAACATAGGCTTAAGCAGACGCAGGAGTCATTCATGACAGCCTTCGCGGATGTTTCGATGTGGGAGCTTCTTGTTCTTGTTGGGGCATGTTTGGAGGTCTGTGGGGTTCTCCGAGGGCTGTCTTGGGAGTCTCTCCTGTGCTTTCTTTGGCCATTTCAATGACTTGTCCTCTCGGAAGCATTCGCGGGACGCTCGGAGGCTCTCGTAGCCGACTTTGGGCCGTGCGTGAGTTTCTTGGAGGCATGTCAGCCTGCGGCGCGCTGACCGCCTTGCGCCATCTTGGGGGCCAGCCTGGGGCAGTTCGGGCCATTCGGGGCTGTATCAAAGCCATGTAGCAACGGAGGGATGCCTGGATGAGCTCAGCTCCCCCCATCCACCCCTCTTCCAAACGAAGGTACCCCCTTCCCAGTGCGTTGTTTGTCCTCCATCCGCCGACGCGTGTCCTAGCGGACCTGAAGCTCCAACACACTGACCCCTTATCGTGTTGATTATGCGCGATCGGAAAGGGGGAGCTGCGTACATAGGAGGAGACGGAGGTGGCGGATGAGCAGGATGATGAGCAGGAGTAAGCGGAGGCTGAAAAAAAGGAGGACGAGGACGAGGACGATCAGCAGCAGCAGGAGCTGGAGTGGAAGGAGCGGGAGGAGCGGGAGGACCAGGGGGGAGGCACAGGAGGGGGAATGAGGGGGGCGACAACAGTGAAGAAGGACTCGGATCCGGAATCTTGGCCACGCTGCAGCAGGAGCACTATTCAGACACGTCGGCAACCATCGGCTCGAGCACTAGCAGAAAGTAAGATTAGCCTGCGTGGGCCCCAAACCGTGTGTGTTTTAGCCTACTGAGCTCATGGGCCTGTTTTCCACCGCCACCACCGTAAGTTGGAGGGGGGAAAGGAGGTAGAGGACGAGGAGGAGGAGGAGGAGGAGGAGGAGGGGAGGAGGAGGAGGAGGAGGAGGAGGAGGAGGAGGAGGAGGAGAGGAGGGAGGAGGAGGAGGAGGGAGGAGAGGAGAGGAGGAGGAGGAGGAGGAGGAGGAGAGGAGGAGGAGGAGGGAGGAGGAGGAGGAGGAGGAGGAGGAGGAGGAGGAGGAGGAGGAGGAGGAGGAGGAGGAGGAGGAGGAGGAGGAGGGAGGAGGAGGAGGAGGAGGAGGAGGAGGAGGAGGAGGCGGTGGAGGAGGGAGGAGGAGGAGGAGGAGGAGGAGGAGGAGGAGGAGGAGGAGGAGGAGGAGGAGGAGGAGGACCCCCTCCCCCTCCTACTTCTGCTGGTGGTGGTGGGGAACGAGCCCACCATGGGCTGTGCGGCGGCGGCCTGCAGGCGGGGCCTGCTGTGCGGCGCGACCGACGGGATCGGGGCCGCCGGGCCCGCGGCCGGGCCCGGGTCCCGAGAGGAGAGCCAAACCAAGCAGCCCGAGGTGCCAGCACTGATCAGGAGGGGAAGCAACACACAGACACAATGAATCGTCGATTCCCCCGAAAATGCAGGAAAATATTGGAAGTGGGGGGGAAGACAAAAACCCAGAAAATCTGGGAAACTATGGGAAACGATGGGCTCTCCCCTCGGGGCCGCCGGGCCCGCGGCCGGGCCCAGGTCCCGAGGGGAGAACCAAGAAGCCCGATGTGCCAGCACTGATCGGCAACGCGCAGAAGGGGGGTAGAGTCGGGGCTCTGAAGAAGGAACCCTTTTGGTTGGGGAGGGGCTCCGCGTTCCTTAAGTGTTTCACAGCCTGCCTCAGGTTTTCCTTCTGTTCCCGATAGGAGATCGAAGGTTGACATATGGAAAAAGGGACCTCGTTCCTTATTTAGGGTTCCTTGGGTCAACGCCCCGACTGTAGTGGGAGTGGGGAAGGCTTCTTAGAAGCACCACTGCTTCTTAGAAGGCGCAGGCCTTCTCCATAGACGTGAGGCCGAGGCCTTCTGAGAAGCAGCGGTGCTTCTAAGAAGCCTTCCCCCCTCCCCCTACCCCCTTTTGCGCGCCGCCAAACTGACTTCGGAGTGTCTGCAGTTCTGTGCGTGCGGGCACTAGGGGGCCGACCATCTTGAGGACGGGGTCAGGGGAAAGAGAGAGCATCACCGCTCCCCAAGCCACCCCCGCGCAGCCCGAAGGCCCCGATTTGCCCTCCATGTCCAGTGGGGGGGGGTCGGGAAACATTGAACAACAACACATGTGAAGCCCGTGCCCCCCCCCACCCGAAATTCGCGCGAAAATCGGGTCTTCGGGTTGGGTTGGGGTGGTTTGCTAGGTAGTCAGAGTAGTACCTATCATGGTGTCGATCATGTGTACTTGTGCAGCCAATCATCTCACACACCTTCTCGCTCTCGGAACGCTGGGCTCGACGGATTCAGCAGCATAGGAGGCAGAACAAGCACGCCTCACTTAGAAAGGTTACTATCAGGATCCTCTTGATGGTGCCATTATACGCTTTGTCGGCGAGTGCGTCTCTCTGGCTATTTCAGGTTCCCCTAGTGAGCGAGGGGCTGGAAGTGCTTCGCACGCTGTATGAGTCTGTGGTCATCTTTTCGTTTGTGCAGCTTGTCATTATTTGCTGTGGAGGCGTGACATACCTGCTGGCCAGGTTCGAGGTCCTTCCCACGCAGCAGGGACAGTGCGACGACGGCGAGTGTCCTCCAGTGGCAAGCAGCTTCGTGCAGACCACTGACGGCATGGCATCTCCCGAGGCACTGGCACTGCCGCGGCCCCTCGGAGACTCGGACTCAGACGCTTCCACTATTCCGTCTTCATGGCCCCAGGGGGCTACAGATGTTTCGACACTCCGGGCTTTGACCTCTTTGCTGGAGCCTGGGGAGAGCGGACCGAATGAGGACTCTTCAGAGTCAGATTCTGTGGAGAGCAGAAGATCGAGCTACGACGAGTGCGAGGTAGCGACGCCAAGCCTGCGACGCCCAGCGAAGCAGTTTCCAATCTTGGAGCGGTGCTTGCCCGCTTGGCGGTCACCCGAGCAGATGTTGCGCTGGTGCATCACTGGCGCGCTCACGTATGTGGTTGTTTCTTGTTTCAACGGTGTTCTAAAGGCAGTCGCGTTTACGGTGGTGGAATATGGCAGCCCTGGCGCTCAGGATATCGCTAACAACTTTGTGCTCAGTTCAGCGTCGCCCCTGCGCCTCGTTGTCGGCCTGTTCCAATTTGTTGCTATGACCTCGCTGCTAGTGCTAGCTGTGAATGTGATGGAAGACCTGAAGCCTATTAGGCCAGAGGCGAAGTTCCTTTCTGTGAAGTCGATCGTGTTTTTCACCGTGTGGCAGGGATTTGTTTTACATGTTCTTGGGGATCATCATATCGAAGACGCCTACGGCGAATCACCACCGCCCCCTGCCTTTTTGGAAGCGCCTATGTGGCCGAACGTTGAGGCCAGACCTGCCAAGCTATTGGACCATGTGTTCCCCGAATCGGTTTGGAGAGCCTTCGGTGAACACGTGGGCATCTTGAAGGTCATCTTGGCCGTCAGGAGGCCATTTTGACCCTTTCGGGCCTTCTTGGAGGACGTCTTGGAGGGCTCTTTGGCCGTCTTGGAGGCCATCTTGAGCGTCTTGGAGACCTCTTGGGCCGTCTTAGGGGCCTCTTGGGGCCGTGGTTTGGGCCTCTTGGTCGATTTTTGCGGACACTTGGGCCGTCTCGGGCCGTCGAAAGGCAGACAAGAGGCAAATGCCACAATGCTTCAAACACCCAAGGGACATCAATGATTTTGGCCTCTTCGGGCCTTCCTGGAGGCCCTCTTGGAGGCCTCTTGGGCCGTGTTGGGCCAGCTTCGAGCCAACTTCGGCCATCTTGGTGGGTTCCTGGTCCGTCTGACGCCGTCGGAAGCCGGTTGGGGGGCCTCTATGGCCGACTTGGGACCCTCCTGGAATGCTCCAGGGCCGTCTTGGAGGCCATCTTGGGCGTCTGAACGGCCTCCTGTGCCGTCTTGGGGGCCTCTAGGGGCCGTCTTGGGGACCTCTTGGGCCGTTCTGGGGCCATCTTGGAGGCCTCTTGGGCGATCTTTCCGCGATCTTTGGAGGCTCTTGGGCCGTCTCGGGCCGTCGGAAGGCCGAACAGAAGCAAACGTCAAACTTCTTAGGACAATTAAGGTTTTTGGCCTCTTCGGGCCTTCCTGGAGGCCCTCTTGGGGCCTTGTGGGCCGTCTTGGGCCAGCTTCGAGCCAACTTCGGCCATCTTGGTGGGTTCCTGGCACGTCTGACGCCGTCGGGAGCCGTCTTGGGGGTCTTTCTGGGCCGACTTGGGGCCCTCTTGGGGCGCTTCGGGGCCGTCTTGGAGGCCATCTTGGGCGTCTTAAAGGCCTCTTGGGGGCCACTTGGGCCGTCATGGGGCCCTCTTGGGGCCCTCTTGGGGGCCTCTTGGGCGATCGTGGGGGCCTCTTGGGCCGTCTTGAGCCGTCGGAAGGCCGAAACGAAGCAAATGTCGACATCCTTCAAAAACCTTGGCAAAATCATTGACTTTGGCCTCTTCGGGCCCGCCTGGAGGACGTTTTGGAGGCCTCTTGGGTCGTCTTGGGCCGTCTTGGAGGCTTCTTGGGCGACCTTGGAGGTATCGTGGACTCTCTTGGGCCGTCTTGGACCATCCTGGGCGGACTTGGAGGCCATCTTGGACCATCTTCGAGGCCATCTTGGGCCAACGTGGCCATCTTGGCGCCATCGCGAGCCATCTTGGAGGATTTTTTTCTGGATTGAGCGCCTTTCTGGGTGGCCGGCGCGACGGGCCGAAGCCCCAGGGGGAGTCCTTTTGGAAAAAGAACCAACACCAAAACCGAGAGGGTTTAACACGCCAGGCACCCCTTTGAGAACGCCAGAATCCTTCAAACATGCATGGGGGATCAATACTTCGTGCCTCTTGGAGCCCTCTTTGGAGGCCTCTGGAGGCCTCTTGGGGCGTCTTGGGGGCCTCTTTTGGGCCATCTTGAGGTCATCTTGGGCGCTTTGGAGTGATCTTTCGGCGAGCCAGGGCCCTCTTGGACCGTCTTCGGGGCCCCTTGGGGCCCTCCTGATCCGTCTTGGGGCCCTCTTTGGGCCCGAACATTGACGCGACAGGATGCGTCAGAGCTCAGAGGGCACGCAGGAAGCCCTGGTAGATTTGAGAACTTGGGGTCCGGGCCCCTTACATTGGCATCGCTCGGACGTGTGCATTTTTCCTTCGGCGAGGACCATCGACGAGCACCCTTGATCATCTGGCGAAAAGACCACGCACGAAACCGAAGATTATCCTGGCGAGGGACCCAACCATGTGCAGTTGTGAGTGACGCAGTTGTGGGTATCGACCTCGGTGAACCTCTCTGGGGTCACGACGCGTGTGACGGGTGTGCCAAAATTGGCACGGGTACGCCACGCGGACGTTGCCACCAGAGCCGTCGGTGGAGCTCCCTATGGGGCCGCGGAACGTGCAAGGGGTGCGCCGAAATGGGGGGTGGAACTGCATGCGGACCCTGCCACTGGGGCCTTCGGCGGAGCACCCTATAGGGCCACGAAACGTGTGAGGGGTGTGCCGAAATGGGGGGGTGGAACCGCATGCGAGCGCAGCCACTGTGGCCTTCGGTGGAGCTCCCTATGGGGCCACGAAACCTGTGAGGAGTGTGCCGAAATGGGGGTGGAACCGCATGCGGGCGCTGCCGCTGGGGCCTTCGGTGGAGCACCCTATGGGGCCACGAAACGTTCGAGGGGTACGCCAAAATTGAGGTGGAACTGCATGCGGACCCTGCCACTGGGGCTTTCGCCGGAGCACCCTATAGGGCCACGAAACGTGCGAGGGGGGCGCCTATAGGGCCACGAAACGTGCGAGGGGGGCGCCGAAATGGGGGTGGAACTGCATGCGGACCCTGCCACTGGGGCTTTCGGCGGGGCACCCTATGGGGCCACGAAACGTGTGAGAGGTGCGCCGGAATGGGGGTGGAACTGCATGCGGACCCTGCCACTGGGGCCTTGCGTGGAGCACCCTATGGGGCCGCGAAACGTGTGAGGGGTGTACCGAAATGGGGGTGGAACTGCATGCGGACCCTGCTTCAGGAGGCCTTCGGTGAAGCACCCTGTAGGGCCACGAAACATGTGAGGGGGGCGCCGAAATGGGGGTGGAACTGCATGCGGACCCTGCCACAGGGGGCCTTCGGTGAAGCACCCTATAGGGCCACGAAAAATGTGAGGGGTGCGCCGAAATAGGGGTGGAACTGCATGCGGACCCTGCCACTGGGGCCTTCGGCGGAGCACCCTATAGGGCCACGAAACGTCCGAGGGGTGCGCCGAAATGGGGGTGGAACTGCATGCGGACCCTGCAACTGGGGCCTTCGGCGGAGCACCCTATAGGGCCACGAAACGTGCGAGAGGTGCGCCGAAATGGGGGTGGAAGTGCATGCGGACCCTGCCACTGTGGCCTTCGGCGGAACACCCTATAGGGGCCACGAAACGTGTGAGAGGTGCGCCGAAATGGAGGTGGAACTGCATGCGGACCCTGCCACTGGGGCCTTGCGTGGAGCACCCCATGGGCCGCGAAACGTGTGAGAGGTGCGCCGGAATGGAAGTTGGAACTGCATGCGGACCCTGCCACTGGGGCCTGGGTGGAGCACCCTATGGGGGCCACGAAACGTGTGAGGGGTGTGCCGAAATGGAGGTGGAACTGCATGCGGACCCTGCCTCTGGGGCCTTCGGCGGAGCACCCTATAGGGCCACGAAACGCTGTACTAGGTGGGTGAAACGCAGGGAGAAGGGGGGGCAGCGGGAGGAAGGTGGGAACGCGGGGCGCTGTCTCTTCAAAACGAGGACCCAACACCACAGGATGGTTGGGAAAAACACAGGGAATGGGCGTCCGAGCGATGGCCAGTTACAGACTCCTCACGACTGAGGACAGAGGTCCCAGGGTTTAGGCAAAGGACCTGAGGACACCCACTCCGTGCCCAGAGGCACGGTGGCGGATATTGGATTCGTTGAGCGGCTGGGAAGGGTTTGGCTGTTCATGCGAGCGAGACATGCAGGTGGCGGTGATTATCCAAAGTCTGCTCGTTTGCTTGGAGATGTGCATCTTGTCTTTCGTCCATCCGTGGGTCTTCCCGCCAAACGACTACGAGACCGTTTTAGTTAATCAGCATGCTTTCCACGAGCACGCTGGTGCCGTCTGCAGGCTGGAGACTCCGAACCCATCCCGAAGAGGCGGCAGGGTCATCAATGTCGGCGACATATTCAGGGACTCGCGCTCCATGCGGAGCGAGGCGGCTCTGTATGGGGCCTCTTCCTCTGGTTAGGTCGACAGCGGTGCGGCGCTGTTTTTGTGCCGTGGGAAGGGAACGTCTTGACGCTGCATCGGGCAGGCCAAGGACCTCCGAGATTGGTTCCTCGGCTTCGACTGCCAAGTCGCGGGGCCTCCTTCACGTGTGCACGTCGTTGCACATGGTCGGATGGGAGGTCCAACTGCGTTCTGCCCAGCGGTCTTCGGTCTCGCGTCGTGGAGCTACAAATTATCAAGACGCCTCCTCCCGAAAAGCTGGACCAGCGTTTCTTGACCAACTTGCTGGAAAGCTGGCCCGGCTTCTTGAGCACGCTCGCCCTCTTCAGCGTGAACCGCAGGATTTGGCCCAGTAAGACGATTCCGGGAAGCTTGCCGAGACTTCTGAGTTGATGATTTCTTAGTCATATGTTCGGCTTCAGTTGTGCGCCAGTCTTGTGAGCCGAAAGAAGATGCCAGCTGCGAAGGGAGGAGGAGGAGGAAGAAAAGATCCCCTCCATCCTGCCCTCCTCCCACCCCGCCGTTCCGACCTCAGACACCCCAATTTCAGCAACGCCCGGCGGCCAGTCTGCAGCGCGACGGCACCACGCCTAGTCTTGAATGCGTGCCGTTCCGCCTTGCTCTGAGCTTGGTGCGGCGTGCGTCGCCCTTGCTCCTCATGCAGCCGTCCAAGGTCATTTTGGTCGAAGCTTGAGGCCAGGCTTGTGCTCAAGAGAGCCGTTCTGGGCAGCAACGCCATCTCCCGGTCGCGCTGCCCTCGCAGGGCCGGCCCCGCCGGACCGCCATCGCGCGCTCCCTCTCGCTCTCCTCCCGCCCCTCGCTCTCCCTCCTGCCCGCCTGCCGAGCGTAGGAGGAACAGAAGGACTCTGATGATGGGAAAGGAGGGGAGGAATGGGGGAGGAATGAGGAGGAGGAGGAGGAGGAGGAGGAGGAGGAGGAGGAGGAGGAGGAGGAGGAGGAGGAGGAGGAGGAGGAGGAGGAGGAGGAGGAGGAGGAGGACAGCGGCCATCGCGTGTCATCGGGCCCGCGCGCTCGTCGCCGTGCGCCGCCTCCCCCCCCCCCCTGGGGTTGGCTGTGCCCGGGGACCGCCAGTCTCGGGCCCCCCGGGGCCTGCCATCTCCAGCACCGCTTCGGAGGGCCCCGGGACCGCGTGGTTGCCACGCTGTCAAGACGCCGACACGAGGAGCACTTTGGGTTCGGAAGGGGCTCGCGGTTCCTGAGGTCCTCCCGGTGCTGTTCCTCTAGCCCTCTTCGTGCACGCAGGCGCTGTTTGAGGCCAACCGTTCCTCGTCGATCGTCCCTTATTCCAGCAGTCCGACTGCACTCACTTTGTAGCACTGGAAGCCTCCTGGAGGTCCAGAGCGGAGTCCTTGACCTCCCTCCTCGCAGGGGGAGGCTGCAGGAGTGAACTGCAGGCGAGAAGGGGCAGGGGGGGGAGGGGGGGGTAGCGGAGGGGCTGCCCAAGCCCCCCCCCGCGAGGACATTGTTCTCCAGGCTTACTGGTCTTCATGACTCGTGATGATTAATGGCGAAGGGCTGATCGGTACGATCGACATGGTTACGGAAAGAATGGGTGCAAAGGCCAACAGCCTTTCTTGCCCGTTTTGAACATGATTCGTTGTCGCCGAGGACGTCGTCCGTTTGAGACAGAAGGCCGCCTGCCCAATTGCGGTCGCTGTCGGTTTTGGACAGCATGTGTTGTTGGGCATCGTACACGTTTTTCCGTATTCATTTCGGGCGTCCAAATCCGATGATTATGGGCGAATGGTTGATTTCCCGGGTGGGATTTCATTCGTAGGGATCTTCAGATGTCTTTTTGAATTCAGATTTCCCAAGCCTGCGTGCGACGTGCGAACCGCATCCAGGCGCCGCAGTGGGCTTCGCATCAGCGTAGCCAATAATGCCAAGAGAAGTATTGCTTCTGGGTGATTATTGTAGCTGTAAGGAAGCATTCGCGGTAGTACGATTTGGGGTTGTAGCAACAGTAGTAAGCAGAGCGGTATCAGAAATAGATTTAGTAGCCGTAACATGTCGTATGTCGTGTGCAGTCGTAGTAGTAGCAGTAGTAGTAGCAGTAGTAGTACTAGCAGTAATAGCAATAGTCGTAGTAGTAGTAGTAGTAGTAGTAGCAGTAGTAGTAGTAGTAGTAGTAGTAGTAGTAGTAGTAGTCGTAGTCGTATTGTTATCATTATTCTTATTAGTATTATTATTATTATTCGTATTATTAGTAGTAGTAGTAGCAGTAGTAGTAGTAGTAGTAGTAGCAGTAGTAGTAGTAGTAGTGGTGGTGGTAGTAGTAGTAGTACTGGCAGTGGTAGTGGGAGTGCTAGTCGTAGTAGTAGTAGTAGTAGTAGTAGTAGTAGTAGTAGTAGTAGTAGTAGTAGTAGTAGTAGTAGTAGTAGTAGTAGTAGTAGTAGTAGTAGTAGTAGTAGTCGTAGTCGTAGTCGTAGTCGTAGTCGTAGTTTGTTGAGTAGTGTAGGGTAGTTGTCGTAGTACGTAGTAGGAGTAGTAGTGGTAGTAGTTAGTAGTAGTTGTTAGTAGCATTACTTAATAATTGCAGTGGTTTAAATTATTATGTCGTAGTGGTAGTCCGTCGTCGTCGAAGTAGGCTTTTTAATCGCATTAGTAGTATAGTAGTAGTAGTAG